CTCACCCCCTCCATGTATGTATCTTAACCACTAAGATAATCATGCTCCCTCTTTCTGACCCAGTGACAGCTTTTCTGCACTGTGGAACAGCTTGAACAGGAAAGGCAGAAGATAACCCCTGTTTCAGAATAGGCTAGAGCCTGGCAGTTAGGTTGCTCTTCAGGGTGAGAGGACACACTGGCCACAGTGAAGACGGGTTTTTTTTTACTGGGTGCAGTGTTGTTTCTGTCAGTACTTAGAAAACTTAGATTCCCAGTTAGAGGGTCATGCTCCTCTGCTCAGGGCCATACTGATGACTGAATTTGAGGTCAGGAAGGATTTTTTCTTCTAAATGAGACTGGTAAGGACTGTGGGGCTTGTATACTCTATTGCATGGGGTACTGTATGGTCCTTTTCCTTTGAGCACATATTAGATCAGTGTTTCCCAACCAGTGTGCCATCAGAAATGAACAGGTGTGCTGCAGAATTTTGCCATGGCAATGAGCTACGATAGGTATGAGGATGAGGACTGCCTTAACAGGTGTGCCGCAGAAAATATTTATTAATGTAAGTGTGCCTTGGGCTGGAATTGTTGGGAAACACTTTATTAGGTTACTTCTCTATCAGACCAGTATCAGGGCACTGGCAGTGCCCACATCTCCCCTACTTTAATCTATGGCTTGCTGTCAGCGTTCCTGTTTCTGGTTGTGTACCTTGTAGTCATAAATGAAGAAAGCAATGATTTTGGGAAACCCTCGGTGAATGGTTAAACACAGGGGACTGGACTTCATAACCCAACGGGACCCTTTGGGTCTTATGCGAGTTAATTTAGGGAACAATTTCAAGCCAGGTCTTCCACATTCTGCATGAGTGCACCTGCCACTGAGGTTATGGATAACAGGAGAGGGAGGCACTCACTGAACACTGCAGAAAAGGTGGTAGCATTAAGCCATTAAGTCTGCTGTGAGAATGCCTACTGATTAAGTATATTAGTGTTTAGCTACTCAGCATCATCAAGACTGAGGTGCTTCTGAAGATGATCAAAAATAAACCTTTAGGCACCTAAGGAGCTTTACTGGTGAAACTGAGAAGTCTAGGAATTTTAGGCATGTCCACTGCTGTCAGCCAAAAGTAATTTCACACACACAAGTTTGGGTTTAGGAATGGCTGAGGTTCCGCGGGCTCTCTGGATGACAATTGGTCATATATTCCTTCTCTTTTCTTTCTGCTAGCAACTTTGGGACCTACAGCAATGCTTTGATTCTTTCTCCATGATGACTTCACACTTTTGTATACTCTTGAAGAGGACCTTGTCAAAACGCTTTAGAAAATCTGTTGCCTGCTCCTCTTTTATCCCCTATTTTATTTGACAATCCAAATCTAAGAATCTAATGAGGGTTGAATTTCCTTTATAGGCCATGTGCTAGTTAGATCAGCTCTTATTAAGATCTTGCAAGTACAACTGTCATACTTGTAATCATCATCCATTTTATAGACAACCACCATGCTCCAGTTTGGAAACTGTTGCACTAGAATAGCAATAAAAGTGATCAATACAAAACCGTATCAATTTTTAAAATACGTACTAAAACATTATTGGTCCAGCTAGGTTAGAATCCATGATACAGCCTCCCAGGGGAGAATTTTTTCCTTACATTCCCAGATACATTGGTATGTTAGAGTTTATTTTTCCAGGATAGCTTATTCTTTCTAATGAATCTCCATCTCAGAGATTTACCTCAGAAATTTAAGTAAGAGTAAATAAAAAGAAAAAAACCAAACTGGTAGTTCTCCAATCCTTTTCAAAGGATTCCCTCTTAACTGTACTTTTTATCCATTGATCACTTTTTTGCTGTTTTAAACCTTGTCTTTAACCTTAATCCTTGCATTTATTTTCTCTTTAATTCTCTGTAAATACTTTCTAGCGTAATTTTCTTTCCCTTGCTGTAGACAACCTCCTTTTAACCTAACTCTAAATCGCTTCCAACTGATTTAGGATTGGGGTAAAAATGCCAGACTTGGAGAATTTTGCCTATATTACAGCTGCAACTCTTAATAACACCTGTGCAACTCAAGTGGCAGTAAATACACTCAGATATTTTTTCCTAAAAATACCCTAAAGACACATTCAGTCAAACAGACATTTCTTCCATTACGGATTCTCAACTGGATATTTAATAGCAAACCCAAAACAAAACTCTTGATGTTTCTTCTGCTTATTACAAGACCAAAAGCTTCTCCCTCCTACCCTGTCCCCACAAGAAAGTAAATCTGCCGGCAGCAAGGCATGAACTGTAAACTTTTCCACAAGTAGGGACTATTATCTAGAATTTATTGCTAAGATCAGCACAGAGCCTTAAGACCAAAGAAACATATGGGTGACAGAACCCATGCACAAACAGGCCCAAAGACTGATAGTCTCTCTTAACAAATGTATGCTTAGTAGCAGTTTAATTATTTTTAGCTTGGTCTTTTATTAAAGCATTCTATAATTGTACCCTTATTTGTGTTATTGTCATTCTTATTAGGTACACAAAGTAATTATCATGGTTGCATATCCTCAGCTCCGGGAAGTTTTTATATTAACATACCTCATTGTTGCCTTGGAGGTTTTTGGAAGGAAATCTTAGAGATGTCAGTAGTGTATCACTCCCTTTTGCTGGGAGGGTTGCAAATCAGGGGGTTTTCATATAACGTGCTTTTTCACACGTAGGCAATGCACTTCATGTTACCATCTAGCAATCAACCTGTAACCAGTCCAACAAAAAAAAACACTACAAGGCAAGAGTACAGGTTCATCAGGTTCAAATGTCCTAACACACTTGCTAATAGTAATTACTTAACCACATCAAATAGTTTATAAAACACTCCCAATTCCTGCCTTCTTTTCCTAACATTTAATTGAGATGACTTATCAGGGTAAGTGACCATAAAAAAGTGTTGTCCTGAGATTAAAAGATTAGTATGTTTTTTTTATTCCCATATCCTTGTGGGAATATCCCATCTTTTTTTTCCAAACCCAACCAGTTGCATTTCCACCTGGGTTAACGAAATGAGAAAAAAACGTCATTGATAACTGCTGCTGCAGATCCTACTTCAATTGGTTCACAACCTAAAACATTTTATTATGGCACCAGTCAAAGAGATTTTTACTAGGGAAAAAAACAAAAACATGTCATTAATTAAAAACTAAAACACCTACCGCTCTTTGGAGGTAATGAGGAAAAATACAGAAAGTATTAGGACAGCACAGAATTTGGCTTTTCCTGGAACCCCCAGCAAAGACAAGTGAATAACACTATAAAAGAAACTTGTCCCTGAGAAACAGGAAACAAATAAGGTATTTTCTCTTGAGAGATGTGGGGTGTAGAGATGCATAATGAGGGACTTGATCTCTCTTTCTCATTTACACCAGCATTAATTAGGAAAAACTATCTGAATTATGCTGCTATAAAAGCAAGTTAAGAGACAGGAAAATCAGGTCCTAGATGTATAGCCCACGTCCTTTCATCACCTTTTCCCACGATCCCACATGCTTATATTCAGTCTACAGTGCTGGCTTTTGTTAGTAGATACTCCAAAGCATTGTAAGTAAAATATATGTAAAAACTATGAAATATGTATCAGATTTCCAGACAATTCTTCAAGAGTCATATGGGAGGAGGGAGGACTTGTTTGGTCCTTGTCTGGCTCAGAGTCTGTCCTCTACTTACTCTGCAGTTTGAGACTAAAGAAGACTTAAAGTGTGAAAATTCATATTAGGTGAACAAAGTCTGAATATTCAAGCCATTGGCGACACATAGGGGGTGCACGTGGATGCACGTGCACCCCCTGAACTTGGTGGTGCACCACCTGCGAAAAGGCACTGCTGACGCTGCTGGCAGTACCTGTGGGCAGTTGCTGCTCGCCACCCCCACCCCTGCCGCCAACACCACTGATGGCATCTGCAAGCAGTCCACAACTGCCGCTGGCCACCACCGCCACTGCGTCTGTGCGCAGTCACCGACCACTGGTTTGCACTTTCCCCCACCAGCCGCCAACAGCACCGCGGCCGCCTGCGGGAGCTTGCTGTGCCCCGCCAGCCTCCGGGGGCTTGTGGCGTTCACGATTCAGGATCTGTGAAGATGGAGTGTAGTTCAGATGTACCCCTAATCAGAGTGCAAGACTGCTATTGTAAAGCAACCCTCCCAAATACAGCGTTAGCCTTTGGACTGGGAGAAAAGGAAAAAACAGAGAACACTTGCCAGGTACCGAGGCCGCTGGATGTGTGCAAACACGCTGACAACTCCGGCCTGCGCTGGCCTCACAAATGCACATGAACAAGACACCTGTTCCCTGCGCGGGTGCCACATGCCACTGCTCCGCCTGCCAACTCCCAGCAAAAGCCATTATGGATAATACAAGGTGTGGATAGACAGGATCAGACTCCCCTTTGGTTACAGACTGCCACCCTGAACACCTGCACTTGCCGGCCCAAATACCAAACAGTGAGAATCGGAATTAGGTCATCACAAAAACTAGGGTGAAAAATGGCTCATGTTTATGGTAGGGGTGCAGGTTGTAGCCGGGTTGGTCTAAGGACGCAGGCAGACACAGTTGTTTGGGTGAATCCGGTATCTTTGATTACACCAACTGCACTTACTTCCTCAGCCCGACGAAGGGTATTTATACCTGAAAGCTTACAACGAATATTTTTTCCAACTATTTGAATTGGTCTAATAAAAGAGATCTGCTTCACCCAAAGAACCTTGTCGGCCTCATATTTATTATAATTACATAAATACACACGTGGTTTATCTAGTGCTACACAGACCGCATTTTGTATTTGTGCGTGTATGTGTATGCAGCTACACATGCATTTTGCATACACAGACACGCATAGCGACTATGTGCGGCCCCGCCCCGGGCCCCTCTATTCGCGCAGGCGCAGAACCCACGCGCCCGGAGCCTCTTCTAACCGGGCGCAGCTGGGATTACGTCAACTGGGCGGGGGCTCGAGTGCTGCCCCGGAAAGGAACAGCGGCTAGGCGGGGTCAAGGGTGAAGGGTTGCTTCCGGCCGCACTTGGCGGCATGGCTGGACGAGGCGAGCAGAGGACGAGGCCGTGCGGAGCAGCGCCGGGGCCCGCCGAGGACCATGGAGCGGCCCCGGAGCGGGTTCTGTTCCCGCCCGCGTTCAGCGTGTCCGAGATCAAGAACAAGCAGCGGCGGCACTTCATGTTTCTGCGCTGGAAGCAGCAGCAGAGGAAGGTGGGACCCCGCCCCGCCCGTGACGTTATGCAGGGGGCGGCAGCCTCAGGATGGGGAGGGGCGGGTGGGG